TGAGAGCACTAAGACAAATTCCTTATGTGTCCAATCACACTTGGCCAATAAAGAATTCTATTCTATTCTATTCAAAACAATTGCATTAACTCAATTCACCTTAAAATGAACAATATAAATTATTGATCCAGCCAACCAAGCTACTCACAATTTACCAAGTAAACCATTTGGTTCTTTTCCAGTTGAGTTAAGCACTGATAATTTATTACAGAATTTTTAAAAGAAGAGAGAAAAGAGAACCTAGAATATCCAAGTGTCATTTTGTTATTGCATATACACAGAGATACACAAAGATAAGCAGATGGCAGTATGCTAGGACTGTCATAAAAAGTGGACTGTAATCTAATAAACACGTCTAGACATTTTGAAAGAAATCTGTTACAAAACTACTCATCCAAGTTCCCAACAGCATCACAAGGCTGTCTTCAGTTCTGCTTTGCATGACCTCATGGCAGCTATCAAAACTGTTACTTTAAATATATTGAAAGAAATATGTCCCTGACAATGCAGCAAGTGAATATGCAGATGGTAGAAGGTGGCATAAAAAGTTCAGCAACAAAAGCTCTTTAAAAAGAACAGAAGAAAAAGAGACTTATTAGATATTCAGGCAAGGTGAAAAGAAAAATGATTCTTTTCATATTCTAATTTCCCCCTGCTCACTGCTAATTGAGTAACCACTGAGAAAAAAGAATGTATTTAGCAATTCTGCAGGTGTTTTACCTCTGCTATTATCTCAAATACTAGTGCTGGAAGAAAAAATGCACTAAATACATTTTAAACACAAAACATTTATTTTCACAAAGACCCATCTTAACATTTAAAGCTATCTTTTTACCTGGTTCATTACAATGTCTGTCCTCTATATCAGGGGTGTCAAACTCACGTTCCATGGGCCGGATGCATCACGCACTGGCCACACCCACCTCCAGTTTAGTGAAGGGGGGAAAGTCGCAATACATCACATGACAACAACTTGATGCCATGAGTTTGACACCTCTGTATTAGATCTTAGCCTACATATGGCATAGGTAGTTTCAACTTTGTGAGAAAGCTATACCATTTTTATAAGTTTTCAGGCTCCTGCCATGGCCATGTTTCTTTTTTTTTTAAACAAATTTTATTAATTTTTTAAAGACAAACAAAACATAAGACATAAAAGCATAAAACCTCCTTTCTAAAGGTTACTTATAGGTTTTAACAAGGCAAATAAAGCATTATTTTATACAGCATAGTTCCACATTATCACATTTCCATTTAAGCACATATATATCTTTTCCAAATTTCTCATTATTTCTCCCTTCACTTTTATTCAATTATATTTCTTTCTATCAAGGTTTTATTAATTCTCAATCAAATATAGACACACAAAATGCAAAACATAAAACTTCTGACAAACATAAGACATAGAAACATAAAACCTCCTTTCTAAAAGCTGCTTATAGATTTTAACAAAGCAAATAAAACATTATTTTGTACAGCATACTTCCAAATTATCACATTTCCATTTAAACACATACATATCTTTTCCGAATTTCTCACTGTTTCTCCCTTCACTTTTATTCAATTATTAAAAATCTATCAAGGTTTTATTAATTCTCAATCAAACATAAACACACAAAATACAAAACATAAAACAAGACATAGAAACATAAAACCTCCTTTCTGAAGGCTACTTGTAGATTTTGTCAAAACAAATAAGACATTCTTTTATACAACATAATTCCAAATTATCATTTGTACATATCTTTTCCAAATTTCTCATTGTTTCTCCCTTTAGTTTTATTCCTCCAAGGTTTTATTAATTCTCAATCAAACATAGCTAACCAAAACACAAAACATAAAACATAAAACTTCTTTTTGGAAAGTGGCTTAGCCTCGGGTTACATCTTTTTTTACAGACCTAAATCAAATTCATGCTCACCTTATATACCATTCTTATCTTATTTACCATTCTATATTTTCTATATAACTTTTCCCTTCTTTTCACTCTCTTAATTATATTTTATTTCATCTTATTTTAAAATCATTATACTTGTATCTTTTGTCCGTTCTTTTCCAATTATCTATTTATCTCTTCTCTTTAACAGAAAATTTCCCCTGTAATCACTTTTAAAGTGTGACGCCTTTCTATCTTTCCCCTAAATTGACACTTAAAATAATATATAACTTCCATTCTGATTCTGCTTAGTACATTCTACATGTTGCATTTTAAATTAAAAGAATAATAAATTTATAATATAGTTAAATATATAATTTCCATTCTAATTCTAATTCTGCTTAATACATTATTTTAAAATAAGAAAATGAAATAGTAAATTTGTACTAACATTAAGACAATAACAAATTAAACTATAACTAAACATTAATCATTTTACACAGTCTCTTTAATATTTTATTGAATATTGAAATCTATCATTATTAAACATTTTAATATTTTAATATTTTATTAAATCTTATAATATTCCAATAGACTATTTCAAATGCAAATACTACAATACTATCTTATGTATTCTTGCAGAATCTTTCTTTAATTATGCTTTACCCTTTATCTCTGAAAAAAATCTGCTTTTTGGCATCTTTATTCAAGCCTTTGTGACTTTTTTTTTCCTTTTTCCCTCCCTTTCTTCTCCTGTCTGGCCTTTTTGCCCCCCCACCCCTCTCCGAACCTCCATCTTTTTAACTTCCCCTCTCTGTTGTATTTCTCTTTTCTGTTGCTTTCTAACATTGTACCTTTTTTTCACCTTATTTTTCTTTCTTAGTTGTTTTGTTAAATCTTAAATTCTCAATTTTCCTTCCCCTCTTCCTATTTTTTTTCTTAGTTGAACTTTTTTGTCCATTAAAGATGGCTTCTTCCTCTTCTTCTTCTTCTTCTCCTTCTTCCCCATGTAGTTGCTGATAAGTAGAAATCGCTATTTCTAAAAAGTGGAAGACAGCTCCCAAAGAATCCTTGCCTTCCTGTTCTCCTTCCTTTAATTTTTCATATTCCATTTTTAATTCATCCACAGATAGTGCCATTGTAAAGCTTTTTCTTCTTCTTCTTTTTTTTAAGAACAACCCAAATGTTTTTAATCTTAAAGTAATTTCCAAGCGTTCCAAAGTTATCAAGCAATCCAAACAGACACAAAATATTTCCTCTTCTTCTCTTTGTACTTTCTCCTCCTGGGACAAAATCCCCAAATATATTTTAAAGCCTTATTACAGTTAATTTCTGGTCTTGTAATCTTTAAGGCATCTCCTCCAACAAATTCTTAAAGATTTTTTAGTCCTCTCCCTTCCCACTTATAACAAAGAGCTTATTTTTACCTTCTGTAAAGAAGGAGGTTTTTCAATGTCCGTTTGCTATCTCCGTAAGGAAGGGGAGTGAACTTTCCCTCAGCACTTTCATCCGCCGCTTTAATAGCCTCTTTTGAAAACAAATGTATCAATCAAAGAGTCAGATTTCCAGGGTGTTTAAGTGTATCTTAATGTCCCGGTTCAGCCAAAAAACTTTCTCCTTCTAATTCTTCCTCCTGCACAAATCTTGTCCGGTTGAAGATCTCTTTGTGGCTGCCATTACTGACAGCCACTCCACCGCCTCAGAAAAAAGGAGTCTAGCCGGCTGGGGAAAGGGGTTGCGAAACCCCTGCCCGGATCTCCTCTATTTTCCGCTACCTCTCCGGGGTAGCGACAACCCCCAAATCCAATTGGATTGGGGTACTTCAGCAGCGAGCGCATTAGGGACCCGCAGAGTCGCGGATTCCTGCCGTGCCGAAGCCTTACAACCAGAAGTCCTGCCATGGCCATGTTTCTATTGGCACCTAATTTCTTTTATGAACTTGAGCTTTAATAACCTTTATTAAAGACAAAATGACAAAAAGTGGTAGATAAAATACTATTGGTTTTTTTTTCTAATTACTTATTTATTGCCACTTCCATTTGCAGTAAAAGGGGAAAGTAGCAATCCCTGGTTAAAACAAAAAGTCAAGTCTACAATTTCTTTGTTCCATCAATGAACAGTTTCACCATCCCAGTGGTGAACTTGTTAAAACAATGTCCATGTAAGACAATGGCTGGAGAGGAGAAGGCACTGAATGCAGAAAGCCTCTTTTTCCAATGGAATGAAGCACAAGAAGTGAACTGGACAGGGCTGCTTATGACATAAAAGTCAGAAAATGCTACTTTTGAAGCCTAGTAGAAAAAGACAGGTGAAAATTGCTTTTCTGGTGACTGGAGTAAAAGAGGACATTCCTAGTTTTAAAAAGTGGTTGGTAACTCATACTCACATTAGAGCAAACTGGGATTCTTTTAATTTTCCTTTTAAGTTCATTTTAAATTTGTATAATAAGATGTAGCATTGCCTAAACTGATTATGAAAATACTTCAACCTTATTCTCACCTGATTAATTTTGTAAATTCTTTGATTTATTTGTTCTTAGTATGTAGTATCGGTGTGAATTTCATCAAGATGACATCTCAACTTCTGAAATTATTCTCAAAAGAAGAGTATGAAGTGGCTGATTAATTACAAGTTGTCATGCCCTTATAAAAAGAAGCATCAATGGTAATTCGAATATTCCTTTGAACTGAAATATGTATAAGTTTAAGATTTTAATATTCATTTTACAGATCAGTGTATCTGTTGATGTTATCAAGAGCTATGTGATGAGAAATGCACCTTGTAAAAACAACTAAAGTGACAAGTTCAGAATTGCAATATAAAGACCACAGTGTTATCTAAATTAGGCAGCAAGAGCTTTTGATTTATCCCCATCTCTGATCTTCTTGTTGGACCCTCTCAAATCTTCAATGGTATGTTTTATAGTAATTGTTACACATATACATATATAATGCAGAAATACAAAGAAGAGATGCAACTTAGAAAAAAAATCAGCAACCAGCTGGCATAAATGAATTGGTCACATAGACCATTGAATCTATTCATATGAGCCATAATGTGGTCACCATTGAACCACACACATACTGTACATAAAGCAGGAGAAAATTACTACTTTGGTACTTACATTCATCAAAAGGAAGGCAGAAGTTCAAAAGATCAAGAAAATTTGCTCCTCTTAATTCTCTGTCATTATCATGTTCCTTTCCGCAGTCACAGAATCCAAGAAAAGCGGTTTTTTGTAATTCTGCATTAATGCCATGCAAACAGATTTCTCTGAGGATATTCGTATATATGTATCCTACTTGCCAGTGCCAACATGACATCTTTTTCTTGTTATTTTTTTCCTATACAAAAAATGTTAATCAAATAGGAACCAAGATGTGTAAAAAAAGTTCTAAAGTACATATTTACAGTTCTAAAGTACATATTTAGAAACATTACAGAGCATTGGCTATAGCAAGATCAATGCAGATCTTGGAGGAACTCATCTGGGATAGCACAATGATAAACACAATTCCTTTCTACACCAAGATTAACTTGGCGCTTACCTGTTTTTGAAGAGGCACAGAGCTTGAAATAAAATATTTCACTAGGTCCATTAAATTTTTCAGACATGACATATTTAATTTGGCACTTTCTCCCAGTACCATCAAGGCCAGTACTGATTCCAACCTAGGTATTTCAAACCAATAAGGGCAAACATTAGTCCACTTTTTTCAAAAGAAAAATACATCACCATTAAAAAATAATGTTAAATTCTCTTGGATTTAGCTGGTACCAAATTATCTGTATGTGTAATTCAGTTGAATGCATGGAATATCCCATACAAAGTATTTTCTTAAGTGTCAGCCATTTTGAAGAGCACTTTTATTAATGCATCCTTATACATTGTATATATCCATTCATTGATGCATGCTTATACATTATTAATTCAGCAACAATTATAGCTTGAGTAACTGTCTACCAATATGCTAGCACAAAATGCCTATGGTTAAGCACACAGCAAGCACATTTGAGGAAGGGAAGCAGCCACACAGAATATCAAACGATCACATGTTCAGAATCTAGCAGCAACAGGAAACACCACCACAGAGATTCCAGCTTTTTTATTTTTATTCAGAAATAGATAAAGAAATAATCATTTTGATTTTTAGCCAGGTCTTATCAAACCAGACTTTTTTCTCTTTTCAGTTAATTGTTTTTACATTCTTTTATGTGTGAGTCTCTTGTGCTATGTTCTCTTGGCAAGCATAGTTTAATTTATCACACATTACACATTTTTCCCTTGTGTGGTTCTCAAAAGCATTCTAAGTAAGAAGATCTTTACACAACATGATATCTTTCTAATACATGAATACCTCCATCCAGGTGTTTATTTTTATCAGTTTAAGTTAATCAATCAGAATAGAGCTGGAGGGAACCTTGGAGGTCTTCTAGTCCAACCCCCCACTCAAGCAGGAGACCCTATACTATTTCAGACAAGTGACTGTCCAGTGATGAAGCATGTACAACTTCTGACGGCAAGCTGTTCCATCATGTCACCCTTAGTTCTTTTCTCTAGACTAGCCAAACCCAAATCCTGCAACCATTCTTCATATGTTTTAGTATCCAGGCCTTTAATCATCTTACTTGTTGTTCTTTGTACTTTTATAACAACGAACAAACTCTAGCCAAGCAAAAGTATAGATATGCCCATGATTATAGTGAACTAAGACTATGTAGTTCTTCAGACAAAAATCAGAAAAAAAGTTTTGGAGCATGTGTGCATGCAAAGTAGCACCTAGGACTCTCAACTCCATCATTTCTTAGAATCATGTGACTATCTTTTCTAGCTGCCTGCCACATCAACTGGGAAAATATAGGAATTGAAGTGTGTACGTGTATTTCCTGATAGGTATTACAATTCTACCACCACCCCCAAAGCCTCAGAGCACTTTTTGGATCTGTAGAGTTAAACAGATCTATTTAAATTTCACTATAAATTATTTGAAGAAATTATTTAAATGTTAATTGTAAAGAACTGGGAAATAGATAGGCAGTTACCTACAAAACTTCATTATATCAAACATGAAGATAGCTTTATAATCTTCACCGCCCATCATTATTGAATTTTTTGAAAGAACTAGTTTCAATAAATCTGTAAGAATGAGAATGTATTCCTTAGCCAAGGGTGATCCTGCTAGTATGCTAGATCAAATACATGCTTAATCAGTCAGTATAACAATAATCCAATATACTACATTTCTTTTACTAACATACAAACCCATTCTCTATTAACACAGTTTTGTACTGTGGTGTCTTTGAATTGAATAAGAGATAATGGGAGTGCTTAGGGTTTCTGACAATATTGGAGATCATGGAACAACTTCCAATGCATAGTCCTATAATAACTTAGGAGCATATATTACTGGTGGATGTAATGGTATATGAGAATGATCTTAGGAGAAAAGAGGAAGAGCAGCAAACTGGACAACTGGCATTAAAAGATATGTCGGGCCACAGAAGGTGAAAGGACATGAGAAGCGTTTCAGAAAGGACCTGCCCTAGCTTTCAGCAGAATAAAAGGAAAGAAAGACTTTCAGTCTTGCAAGATTGTGCTAATGTAGCCTTACAGTACAGTTAACACTCTTGGTTGTGCTTCTTGTCTAAACTACCTTGAAGGGCTAAACATGGTGGATTACTCATAAATTACAATCTGCAACTTATATCATTCACTTCTTTCTATGCATCTCTAGTTTTCAGCTGATCAATATATTGTGCTCCATCATCAAAACATTTCTCAGTTTCTTTCAGTTAACTGCACTCAAATTAAATTTGAGAAAGTTCAAGCTTCAGTGTAAAGTATTACCTGAGAACATCACCAATATTTGATCTGGCAATTCTTTGGATTTCTCCTAGTTTCTCTGCAAATATCTCAGTCATGACTCACATTATATGAATATTCCTCAGATTTCTACTACAAAAGGCTACAAAAAATATCAAAGAAATATAATGTGGATTCTGTGGATTGTTTCACTTGCCTCTGCAATGTAAATTATCTATTTCATTGGTATGATTGTATATGATTTGGATCTGTGCCCTCCATAGAACAAAGACCAGTGTTTCATTTGAGCAACAGCTGTAAACAAAACTCTTTAAGGATTGGAGATTAATAGTTGTGGTTGTTGATGAATAACGGAACATAGATTCCTTTCCATTTAAACACTGGTTGAAATGCATATCATCCAAACCAAGTTGAAGCCTTTTTTTCCTGTATCAACAACATGGCATTCACTGTCATCTTTCACAGCATATGATGTAACCTAATTGATACCACATTGTGAGGCATCACCAACCTAAAAAAATATAATATCTGTACTATGTCTTATGGCTTTGCAGCATTTATGATTGCTTGAATAATCTATATGGAATATTGTCTGTATGCTTTCATATGCTTTGTGCACCAGAGATGCAACCAAATAAGTAATATTGGGTTCAAAGAATTCATATATGTTCTGTTATGTTTGAAGGCCACTATTTGCCAACCTCTGCAGCATGTCTTGCAGATGAACTACACCATTCCAAATGCAATTATGTCATCTAAATAACTCTAGGTGCCTAAATAATCTTGTAACACTTAGTTCATGGCTCTCTGTCAAAGTGCTGGTACAGATACTGCTCCAAAAACAAGTCTATTATTATAGATAAAATTATGATGAGAAAATAGTTCAGGATATTTCCATTTGTAAATAGCCTTCTGCTAGTTCTAGTTTGTCAACCCAAGTGAGGTTAGCAAAACTATCCTCAGTTCTGACCAAGTGGTACTGCTCAGACTATAATATTGAATTAATGGTTCTCTGGATTATACTGCATATTTTTGTATAAGGGCAGCTTTTGCCTTTAGATCTTCATAAAACTAATATTTCTGAGTAAAATACTTGATCATGTATGATGACAGATGATATCTTAATTCGTATTGATCTGATACAGTCTGTTGGTATGCTATTGTAAATTTATTTATATGTGATTTGATTCCTAATTTCAGCTCTACGGTAATTCAATAGACATTTCCACAGAGATGACATTTCATATCTTCTTGTAAATGTTAAATCTGTCCCACTGTGAATCATTTTTCATCTTTTCTTTTAAAATTTCACTATTTTATTTAATTAAACTACAATTTAGCCCATTTTTTTAATGTTTGGAAAGCTCTTTAAGTTCTGGCAGATGTTTGGTTTATGCTTATAAAGTCCTTTATAGTAATAGTGGCTTTGACACTAAACATTCCTGACTTATTTCACTGTTCTACAAAACTATTGCAAGAGTTTTTATAGAGCAATTAAGCTTTTTCAATAAGCTCTATGCTTTGCTTCCCATAACACTCAGTGAAAGCCACATTTTATTCAGCAACTATCTCATTTGTTCGAGTCTATGTATATATAAATATCAAATCATTTGTGGTACTCTGAAGCACATTAATTTCCCCAGTAAAGCTACTCATCTTGCTGAACTCATTGTCCCTTTGTCTTCACTCTCTATGACTGTTTCAGCATCACTGTTATTCTTTTATTTTATTGCCCTTTTTTCCTCCTCCCCCACTCCCCTCCAAATAAGACAAGCCTTAAAAGTGGGGCTGGCCTTTTTTGTTTGTTTGTTTACAATCTCACTTTTTCTATTATCAATCAAGGACCCTTGAGTCTAAGGTGTTTTTTTCTGCTGTTTTTTTTTTTAACTGAAACTCTTTAACAAGCTTCAGCAACTCTGCAAGTTTTATAATACAGGCTACCCAAGGGAATCAAGCAATAATAATAGGCCAGAAGTATGTATAATTAATCAATACTAACAGCTACCAAATCGACTGCACAGTGGTCATTTAGAAAACAGAAAAAAACATATGAAATAATTGTAACTTGATACTGCTTATGAGGTGTTTTTAGCATTTCCTCTCATATAATAAACATGCTCTGAAAGATGTATTAATCTTGCCATAATATATGGATATCATTCTTTCCTCTGGCTATTTCATATTTAAATAACTAACTTCAATATTCAGCCAATTAGCTAGTCAGTCAAATCAATTTTTATTTTCCTTAAGATGCTTTTATATTTATGATTTTCACAAGCTTATGCTATATTACTGTAATAATTTATAATTTACATGCTTAAAAGATGCAAAATTTTAAAAATTGTAGACACTTCATATTCTAAAGTGATCTTTATACAAGTTAAGTATGCTTTATCTTCATACCATTTGTATCTGTATGTAAATTTAATAAAATGATTGCTTTAGACGTAAACAATAACTTCAGATTTCTTTAATTGGGAGGCTGTTAAATATTTTTACAAGTGATTATTGTTCTCTTAACTTAGAAGTAGATCTATCAGCACAGGAGTTCAACCAATATCTTACTAATATTATAGGATGGTCATTCAGTGTAGCCACTGTAGGTCAATCTGAATCTTAAATTGTAGGCCCTATGGGTTATACAGGGTCATAGTACTCCCCAGTAAATACTGTTTATCTTGGAAAGAGAATTATGAAAGAATACATTACATTTAGGACATTTCAATACCTATATATCAGTATATAAAATCAGAACTTCTAGGCAGAACAAGCAATTCTTTTGCAAACATACAGATGAGAACTACAGATAGTCCTCAGTTAACTACAGCAATTGGTACAGGGATTGCTA